TAGTAACCATGACGGTGCTCAACTGACGGACGTTTAATCGAGCGAGCGTCCGAAGCGCGGGTAAAACACCGTCATTGTCACAAAAATAAACTTTTATGAGGACTATACTTTTACTAAGGAACGTGTGTTCACAAATTAATAGTGATAGTGTCATTTTATACACCACACGGTCACATTTTTTCCCTGCGTCTGATTGTGTCCCAGTGACCTGTTAACGTGTATATTTGTGTTCATCATTGTACTGATTGTACCTTTAAATTTAACGTTTTGTTCAACGATCGTTTCACAAAAACGAAGACCTTTTTACACTATACACTATCGCATTGCTTAGTTCCCTCTTGGGCAAAACACTGGCTACCCTTTGGTTTAGTCGTTTTTGCGGGACCTAACGATTAATCGGACGAAGTGACCAGAGGTTCATTGTTGAAACGGCATGATCGAGTCGGCTCGTGAATATGGGGGTACCTGATTCTCGTCTAGGGCGCAAATTATGGACCTATTCAGGGACTCCTTCCTTAATGCGTTTACTTACACGTGACGCACCTCGTCCCTCTTACAACCAACCAAACACATTCTCCTAAACATGCCGCTCTATTTAAGCTGCCAGGTCTGCCTGCCTCTGCCTCGCTATGCTGCTGCTGCTGTGTTCACTTGCTGCTGCTGCGTTCATGTTCCTGCTGCTGTGTGTCATGTAGCTGCTGCTCGCCTGCCCCCCCACCACCCCAGCTTCCACCTGTAGGCTCGGGGGATAGTTATCTAATCATCACTCAATGTTCTTTGTACATTTGTGGAGTGATGAGGCCCGAGCCTAGACGCCAAACTCAAACTATATGCTGCTTCTAAAACACATGTTAAGAAACACGTGAGTTGTTTGAGTGAACTCGACAGCAGCTTCCTGATGGCCCTAATCTTTTTGCGATGTACTTTGTTTTTCCCCCGTCACATTGTCTGTTAATTCTTCTTTTGAATGTTTTGACAGCTCATCCGAGTGGTGATGAGTTCGGTGAAGGTGCAGGGAGCTCTGTCGTACACGTGTGTGTTCCTCTGCTATCTCGGGTAAGTCTATTAACATTATACTGTTGAATTATAACATGCTTGTATTGCATCTGAAATTGAAGGAGCCCTCGTGAGCATTTAAGCCTTGTGTATATTGCTACACTGAGTAGGACATTTCATTTTTCATATGCTGCATGCATTTTAATCTGACAGTGAACATGTAGCTCAAGAGGCGCTACAAAGGCTGAACATGTTCATGCACTGGTGAAAATCTGTTGTCATCCGCTCCCTCTTTGCCAAATAAAAGTAGATTTATGCATGTTTTGTTAACTCTGGCTTGTTAAACATGCACAGAGACTGTTCTGTGCAGGATACAGACGTGCTCACAGAGTCGCAGTGACACATGCAGGCTCAGTTATAAACACACAGTTACATAAGTATTAACACTGCGCCCTCATGTCCTCTCTCTGATTGCCTCGCTCACTCTCGTTTGCCGGATCCCATCGGGCCCGTACCATTGAAGGGTTTCCCTCAGGGGGAAGAATACATTGTTGTCATCTCCAGTGCCATCTCTGGCCTTCCCCCCCACCCCCACCCCCTGATTTAAAAATAACTCAGCATCACAGCGCTGAGCCTTGGCAGAGCCTCAGCCTCTCTGACTCGCTCCCACTCTGAAACACTCTGTCACAGCGAGCGGTGCTCCACAGACCCAAATGTGTCCGTCTCAGAGTCCCGGGTCAGAGGTTGAGCCTCATAGCAAAACTAAGAAACACATAAAGGATGGTGCACTTCATCATCCGGGTGTCAGAGGGGAAATGTGAGCAGTGGCGATCGAAACCAGATGGTAGAGGAGATTAATTTAAACTGAAGTGGCTCAAAAACACTCTGAGTAACTGGAGGGAGGCTGCTCCGTTACAACTAAAATCATACTGCTGGGTTTTTTGTGTATTTTCTAGGTCTGTACCCGAATATCCGAATATATGTTCGTTGGAGTACTATCCGGGTTTTAATTTCGTTATTCGTTTTTTATTTTTTTATTTATTGAATTTATTGAAATCTCCAATATCAACGTCAGAGCTTGTGCTAACACTTAACCATAAACTTTATCGTTTACTTTCTCCGTCTTTATATGTAGATATGACTTTTCTCTGTTAATCTCCGTCACGTTGTTTCCATAGCAACAACAACTTCCTGTCAACAGCGCTAACTCTCCTTCAAAATAAAAGCATGTCCCTACAAAATAGGAAGCCAAGCCAAATTACACTTAAGACATAATACAACTGCAACGAAAGTAACAAACACAATATCCTTTTCAATTTCAAAGAACACAAATTGGTTTATATATTCGGCCCCCGTGCGAGTCGAATATTCGCTGCTGATTACTACCGAATATCCGGAGCCCGAAAAATGGTATTCGGGACAGCCCTAGTACTTTCATTCAAATGTGCCAAAATTCAGAGCTTGGTGCTGATCCATCAACCAAATTAGCAGAAGCTCAAACTGCTAAACAAAAGCAGACTAATGTAAAAAAGTCTTTCACACTATTCTGTGATTAATTCATTCCACCAATCATAACTGCTATCAAAAAATAGACTGAAATACATGTAAGCTTTAAGGATTCAAAGGCTTTATTGTCATGGCAAAATAGTTATAGCGTAATTGTTGGAAATATAAATCTCTCATAATTCCCAGGCAACTCGAGCTCAAACTCAAGGCCCGGGGGCCAAATCAGGCCCGTGGTGGATTTAATTTCGGCCCGCAGGATAATTTCTAATTGCTATTAGATCTGGCCCGCCGGTATATTGCACGCACACCTTCACTCCATCCTGAGGGTCTCCTCAGCTCAGAGCCTGAGCCCAAACATTGATGAACTTGCACCCAAGATGAGATGCCAAGTATCTGCTTGAACTAGCATCACACACTGAGTTTAGATGGATGTTTCCTGTTGCACTTCCTTTCTCACGACAACAGGGCATGTTTGGTTTGTTCTTTGAGGGAAATAGTTTTCTTGAAGCTGTTGTTGGCCTGTGGAAAAATGTGATCATAAGAAATGACTCTGGAAAAGCTGCAGATAGAGCCATAAGAAATGAATGCAACTGATTATTTAATGTTTAACGTTGTTTTTATAGGCAATAATTTAAGCTTTGTTAGTTCCAGGTTTAATATGTGCTATAAGTTAATTTCAATACGTTTTGGAATAAACACTGAACCAGTCCCGTCCTCGACTAGCACCCATTTCTTTTATTTTGGCCCACTGTGTATTTGAGTTTGACACGCCTGCTTTAGACATAAAAGAAAAATACATCAAATATAAATAATTATTTGTTTCTTCTCTCCACTGTTGTAGACTGTTAAAGCTCCAGAGAAGTTACTGAAGAAATGCAAATCGTTTTATTTCCTGTTAACTACTTCCCGTCAGAAGTGCCCCTCTCTAACCGGCCGTCTCTCCCTCTCCAGGCTGGTGACTCTCAAAGTGTTGAACAGCATCGTGCTGCTGGGGAAGTCCTGTGTTTACGTCAAGAGAGCCAACATGGAGGACAAACTGTTTGAGACTCCGGCCCCCCCTCCACCCTCCTCTTCCTCCACCTCCTCCAGTAAAACCCCGAGCAGAGCGGAAGCCAGCTGTCCCACTCCTCCAGGTAATACACCAAATACTTTAATAAAACGGACCCTGTTGTTAACATCAACCTATGCAGTACCCTCAAATTAAATCACAGTCTACTACTTTTAATAATAACAATGTGAGAGGCGTCGCCTGTGGTGATGAACTTCTGCAGCTCCAATGCTAAACCTCACAAACTATCGGGGGTCTTACACTCAAGGAACACAGTGTATGCAGTATATAAATACATCTGTAATTCTTATACTGGAGGATTATGTTCTTCTTTGATCTGGTAAGTGGTAAGTTTGCCAGTTTACGTGTAGCTGCTTTTTATTAAATAACACACCAAATAGTTTCCAATAAGTCCCTAGCTGTTAACATAAGATCTGTTTTGAATCAGAATTTTTTTTTTAACCAACACCCCGAAACTAAATGCTGGCACATTAGACTTTCAGATGAGATATATTTTCGACATGAAATATTCCGAGAGCTGAGGCCCGTACTACGACTCCAGTTCAACAGATCCTGGATATGTTGGAGTTACCCGGCTTACCTAATCCAAAACAAACGCACTCTCACTAAGCGGCCCTACGACGCTGGTTATCAACTCGGTAACTCAAGCCAGGGTTTCTCTGTCCGGCTGAGTGCGTGTTCACATGAAAGGAGCGGGGTTAGCAACATTTGACCACTCACAAACAGGGACAGCGCAGCGTCATACTTCCTGAATGAAAAGTAAACTATAATATTAGACAAATATGAATATGAAAATAAGAAAATATATGAAGAAGTTAAAGTGTGTGTGTGTGTGTGTGTGTGTGTGTGTGTGTGTGTGTGTGTGTGTGTGTGTGTGTGTGTGTGTGTGTGTGTGTGTCATGTGTTTTATTTGGAATGAGACAAAAGCCTTTAATCACACAGCATCAGCTTGAATGTTATGTTCACAGATCAGAGGCAGCTTCCTATTTTGGAGTTATGCAAAGTGCAGAGACCTGAGAGAGCGTGTGGTGTTCAGGAATCGAGTAAATGAGACGTCCTGGGATTTAATCTTTCTGATGAATTATTTGCCGGTGCTCTCTGCCTCCCGCTGGATGTTTCCTACGTCTCTGCACTTTGACGTACTCTCTCTAACACAACAGTAATGGCTTATAATGATCTATGAAAACAAAGCACTGTGGTTGTTTGTATATCAAAATAAGATAGAAAACAATAATTTAACATTTGACCAAACTTGCCTCGCATCAGAGAAGAATAATAACATGTTTAGCTGACACTCGTTGGAGACAGATTTGTCAGCAGGTAGGAGCTCAGCGTCTTGTGGAGCAGAAACTTCTGACCTTTCAGTCTACCTGGAAATCAGGATATAACTTGTCGGATGCAGTTTGATGGAAAAGGTTCAAACTAATTTGATGTTGTTTCCCACAGATTGACAAAACAAGCCGTCATATACCTAGTATGTAAACCTTATAATCATTCTCTGCAGTGTTGTTGAAGTCCATCAAAATGTGCCAACATTTAGTTTCGAATCTTGAGCTGAAACAATTATTCTTTCTATTTAATGTTGGAAAAAATGCATAATATAATTGGCCCAATATTTTTTTTTTATAATAGACAAAAAGAGTAAATTGTCACATTTAAAGCTGAACATTTTGATTTGATCATCAAACTTTATCTCCACTTGTAATCAGTAATGTTGAATAATATTATCGAGATGTTGCCGTGACGACAGGTGACATTTCATCTAGGGCTGCTCAATTCATTGTATTTGAATCGCAATTACGATTTTGGCTTGCAACGATTATGAAAACAACATAATCGAAATAAAAAAATTATTTATTTTATTTTAATTTATTTTGTATTGGTTTTTCAGTTGAATTATACTTGAAGTTCAGGGTAATCAACTTTTCAAAACATACTGTTCAAAACATTTTTTTCAATAAATGGATGTTTCCAAAGTAAATGGATAATCGTTTTTAATAATCGTGATATCAATTATTGACCCAAATAATCGAGATTATGATTTTTGCCATAATCGAGCAGCCCTAATTTCATCATCTAATACCTCCAAAATATTCCCAGCAGTACTTGAGATGTTTTTGACAGGAATCATGATGTAATAATTGAAAGCATAGTTTTAGGTTTTTAGCAAGTGTTCCTTTAGTGATCAAGATGAATCCATGATTTCATTCACGGAAAGGAAATCAGTAACGATTCGCTAATCAATCGGTTTTAATTTCCAGTTTCTCAAACGTTAGGATTTGCAGCTTTTTTAAGTTAACTTAAATATTTGGGTTTTGGACTGTCGCCCCAGACATTCAAATAAATTGCGCAGGGCTTTTTCCCTTCACAATGTCTGGTATTTTATTTACCAAATGATAAAACAATCATTATTAGTAGTGGTCGTAGCAGTCTTTAGAAGCATTGACGTCCTAGAAATGATTTTCTATGACAGACTTCAATAACTGATCAAACCGTAATTCCAGCGTTCAAGTATTTACATTTGAATCTCCTCACTAACATTTCTTTAGATTCTTGACCAACTGTTAAAGCGGCCCTGTAGCTCACAGACACACCCAGGTACGATCAGACACTCAGATTAGCAGGGGGCAGTATGTCGTCCGAGGGCACATCCCCCGCAGAGCCGGAGCTTTAAAGGACAGAGACCCTGACGGTGTCAGCGGTCTGTTCCTCAGAAGCAGCTGCTGCTCGGCTCAGGGCGCCACGCTCCAACAAACAGAGTTTAATAAGAACTACTTCAGCTGCTGGGACTCGAACCGGCCACCCCTCAGCACATGTTCACTGTGTAACATTACAGAGCTTCGTTCTGCGCCTGCATGTCTTCACAGTGGTTCACACACGAGACAAGCCATCTGCATGTTTCTGTCCAGAGGGCATGATGGGTAATGAGCGGTTTCACGTCAGCCATCGTAAAGCCCCATATGGTGTTTCACTTTTATTAAAGCTCACGTAGCTTCCAGAGGAGACGCTGACCACGCTGCGCTCCTGCAGTTTGAAAACACATTTTATATATACTGTAATATGAAGTCTTAAGGACTTCCTGTACACATGGAGAGAAAGAGAGGGGTGTATTAAATGAATAATAACAAATACAAAATACAAAAAAGATCATTGTCATTTAATATCCCTAATGTTGAGAACCGTTACCACTAGCTAATATATATATATATGCATTTATTTGGCATCATATTTGACCAGTTTCCGTTCTTTTATCTCGGTTAAGATCCTAAATCACTTCTGAGAGATATCGCTCGGGCTCCACTAATGCTCGCTAGTAAACAAAAATATTGTTTTGGCGTTCGGAAATGAATCAAAGTTAAACTCAAGCAAATGAAGACGGAGAGAGGGGAGGAAATCAACAGGCATGCATTATTATAATTTCATCACCGTTGATTTATTCAGGGAGAACCAAAGTTCATTAAATAACAAAACCTGATGTTTTCTAATATTCAGTTGTCTGCTTTTATTGCCTCGGTAATATTTGAAATAGTTTTAACACCATATTCAAAGAACCTCTCGTTGCAGTATCATATCTGTGGGTTCAGTTTGTCTACACTGAGTTGTTGGAGACCTGCGGCTGCTCTCTGCAGACGGCCATGTTGATATCCAGGGTTATTCTGATTGGTTGGTTTTTCTTATGCAATTCACTGTGTGTGTGTGTGTGTAGGGCTGAACGATATATCGTTATCGTATCGATATCTCGATATGAACATTCAAGAAATCAATATAAAAAAAGCAATGGTATAAACGATATATAT